CGGCGGCGGCAGCACCGGCACCCGCCCCACCCCGCCGAGATACAACTATCTTATCTATAATCTTATCGTTAGAAAGGTGCGATTCATGGATTAACAGCTGAATTGAGCCGAGCAGGTGTTTCAGATCACGAAAAGGAGTGACGGTCTAAGGAGACCTAGCCAATACACCCGGCCTCAGCACTTGCACGAAGCTCCACGGAGGCAGCAAGTCCTAGGTATAAGGACTGCGTTTTCTTCGTACTTGTAAACCCAGAAGGAGAAAGTAGGGGATGACATGGCTTTTCCCACTTCTGAGCTAGTTACACAGCAGTGTAGTGTAACAGACAACAGGAGTTTCTTCTGGTAACACCTACAAAACACATGTTTTGAAATTATTTCTCAGCTAAGGTGCATAATAAGCACTTGAAATGACGCAGCATTTTCAAAGTGTCTCAGAAAAATGCCAGCAATCTATCATTACCTCTGACATTTTTCCACCTAGGTATCTAACATTTCCACTCTAATTCCTTCCCTTGTTTTTCACCATAAAGCTTCAGTAGATGTGAGTTTACAGCCAAAGATGCTTTTCAAATACTTGTAATTAGCTGGTATTTAAGATGTGTTTATGGAGATACAGACCTTGGTTTGTTCGTTCCCCTCCCCCCCAAGAAAACTACAACACACTGGCGCATTTATTTAATGCTTTAATAATTGAAATTGAACAAGTAAGTTAGTTGCAAGGGAAAATATTCAAATACAAATTCATTAAAGTACATTCTCCTCACAGAGGACTAACCACGTGCCACAGACCTGTGTGCAAAAGAGAGCCTATGAACAATTTTTAGAGAATAAAAGCATACTGTAGGGCAGAGGATTAACATCAGGAATTTCAACCTAAAAAGATAATGAAATAACCATTAAATTAAGCTGTAGAAAACAGAAGCTCCTACTACAAGCTGTCTTGTCAGGCATAGTTATAGCATCACTCTCCCAAAGCTATCATAAATGCTCTACCAGGCTTCTCCAATGAATATGACTAATCCTCAGGCTGTATAAATCAACATAGCTCCACTGAAGTCAGTGGCACTCGTGAGTTTACAAGAGCTGATGATCTATCCCTAAGCATAAATCCTGGCAGCGACTGCAAGTACTTAGCACAAGAGCTAAGAGCACAAAATAAAGGCAGGATTATTTAAATAAAGATGCACAAATACTGAATAGCACAAGAATACAAAAAGTATGATCATCACAGAACGTTAGTTCAATAGTACTGGTATTTCTAGCCAACTGTAATTTTTAAAACGCCTACCGTTCAATACACACCTGAAAAGTTAAAGCAGGACAACAGATTTATAAAGAGCTTTGTAACAATTTTTAAGTAGAAAATACAAGTTACATCTTCCAGTTTGGTATTAGTCATAGTAAACTTCATACAGCCTTTGGTTGCAAACCAATACAATGCAATAACATTACAGTGTTTACTTAGGAGAGAATGCTGTACATTTGAGGGAGAAAAGGGGAAAGCATAGGAGTACTGAAGTACTGTATTATAGAAAGTAAAGGCTGAAGCAAAAATACTCTTGGGTATATCCTGTACATCATGTAAACACACATTCAGAACAGTGAACAAGCTAAAGTGTCTTCCAGGCCTCCCAACAGTTACAATATAGCATATATACATACACATAGCATATATATCATAATCTTTAAGAAAATGTAGACCCTTACACCCTAACTTACTTCTGTGCTTAGCTCATTTGCAATTCAGACAATACATTCATAAATTAACAGTACATCTCGTTTATTATTTGGAGTTTGCTGGTTGTCACAGAGAAGGACAGATCAAGTAATGCTGAGACTTGCTTTTAACTCACTGTCACTATATAAGCAATACTTGGGCATTCAAGACCCATCTTTCTTGTTACTGAAGCAAACAATTTTCAGATTAATGCACAGCAAAACAAGCTGAAATTCTATTCTGTGCAAAACAGTTCCCATTAATCAGGTAAAGCAAGTAGTTAACTTTTATTCTAAAAAGCAGATTTGAAAATAATCAGCAAGCACAAGAAGAAAGGTGACTGCTTGCATACATAACATTCAGTCCCTAAACAGTTTTCACTAAGACATTTTCTAGTATTGCTGATAACAACACTTTGAAGAGACCACGTTTTTTGAATGTTGTAGGAAGTAAGTTATTTGTTTACTTACACAAAAAAGAAAACAAGAAAGTTTTAGTTTTACAATTTGAGCTACTTTTACAGCCTTTTGAGCTACACAAACCTAATGAAGGAAACGTTCAAAATGTTACTTATCAGTACTACAATGGATTAGGTAGTAATGCAAGAAACAAAGCTTAAAATACGTTTGCAACTATGCTTGTAAGAAAGATTTCGGTATCTTATACTAAAGATTCCTTTTAGCATTAAGCCTTCCTCACTGCAGGATGAATCATGACTAACTATCCTTCTTCAAAGCTTCTAGTCTTTGTAGTAATGCATTTCCAAAAAGCTCTCGATATGCAGGGCTGAGAGAGTCCAATAAGGAATAGACAGTTTCATGGTATGGAGTCTGCAAACTGTCATCGGTCTGATCAAAAGCATAAGCTACTACCTGCAACAAAGAAACCAATGTTACATCGTTGTGATTAAGATCACCTTGTCATGGGGAAACAGAGAAATCACAGAGTTTAACTTTGCCAGTCAGGGCAGTACAGTAATGTCAGGACAGATACTTGATTTAAACTGCAAGCTGTGCTTTCTGCTATGGGGGTTAATAATAATAATAATATAGTATTTAGGCACTTTCAAATAGTTTTTGTCCAAAACTCAGATATTAGTAAAATCTATCATTGTGACCTTCGAAAAGAAATCTAACACCTAGGCATCTGCACAAGCGATATAAATGGTGCAGCAAAGGAGTTGCATATATATAGCATCACTGACTTATTTGAGTAGTTGAGAAACCCAAATGGTGAAGCTGCCTGCAACATATTTGTCTGCTAGCAGCTTCAGTCTTCATCATCTTGTGAATACCTCAAATAAATACCTGTTTTTCCAGCATCTTCCCCTCTTGCTTTGCTTGAAGTAAGCAGTTAAAGTTCCATTTTCTAGGAGAATATATGTGGAACAGGTTTTCATAAAAGTACAAGAGAAATATGTAAGCTGCTTTGCTGCCACTTAACTATTTTTCTAAATACCTTTTGAATAATGATTATTGTAAAACAAAGAGACTTTACAAATTGTACACAAATTATTTTACCCTAAGTCCTGCTTCTGTGAGCTCCAGGCAGTATCTGTTCCTTTCCCTCGTCTCCACATTGATATACGCCACATCCTCTGCACATGGAAGGGTTTTTGAGACAAACATGTTGCTGACAGCAAACAGAACATCATTCACAACAGCTTCTGCTTCTAGTCTCATATCTTTCACATCCGTTCCTTCGAAGTCTCTATAATCAGAATCCTCTTCAAAGCCCATATTATTGGCCATCTCCATAGCATTGCAATCAGTCTCCAATCTGCATATAGAAACGTCCTTTTTAGATGTTATAATACCACTACACGCTACATACAACGTTAACGCTACAAAAGACGAGATCTTAAATAGACATATTTATCATTGCCCAAAACAAAGGAAAATGTGGGACCCAGTGACCTCCGAGACTCATAGAATGACAGTCCTGAGAAGTCTATACCAGAATGTTCACCACAACAGTTTAAGAAGATGATGTCAGCACAGAAAAGCAGAATCACAGAAGTTTGGCATGTTCTTCATACACAAGCAACTCGCATCCTGTTGCATAACAATCTGTTATGATTCAGCAGTAATTAATTCTGCACTTTGCAGATCCAGAATACATTAGGAAGGCAAGCGATGCCCGAAAAAAGCCTGAATCAATAGCTGTTGAAAACAAAAAGCTACTACTGGTGAACTTAAGAAAGACTGTAGACATAAGTTTGTGAACTACTGGGCTATCACACGTTATAGGGACCCATTAGGAACATCAGCCTTTTGTTTACCCTCACTAAAAACAACTATTTAAACATAATTGTTTCTGAAATGATTAACATATATAGCTACCTTCGGTATGCAACTGTTAATAAAAAGGGACAGACTGCGTAAGAGTTACCACAGCGGTCCCAACAGACGCCTCTCAGGTACCAGCGCTGCCTGAGGCCCGAGGTAACCGCCACTTACAACGCTGCCCTCAGCGCCAAGGCAGCTCCAGGAGCCAACGCAAACGACCTGCAGCGCGCAAGTCATTCGCAGCATGAAATTCATCACTTCCTAACAAATCCACCCCGGGCTTACACAACAAAGGCCAGAGAAACCGAATACAACAGGAAGGCTGGCTGCAGAGCTATTTAGCCTCCAACTCAAAGTGAATCACCTCGATTCAATCGCAGCCAGAAGAGGCACG